AGTCGTCAGAAAATAAGTATTAAAGTACTGATACCAGAAACATGTACTTAAGTACAGTAACAAAGTATTTTACTCCACTACTTCCCACCTCTGCTTATGAGCGTTAAAGCGAGAATGCTGCATGTACGTATGTAGGAGGGGAAGGGGGTCTTGCAAGGTCACCATATTAACTGCTGAGCTATCTGGAAGTGATATGGCGACTTCGCTGGCACTGACTAATTTCTCTTTCACAAACACCCCTTCTTATCTCCTGCCTTATTGCCCAGACGACCTCAGATGACTTTCTGCCCGTGAAAAACACCATTTGTGGTTTCTGCAGCTGCTTGAAATGCAAACAATCAAGGAAACTGTCCAAAAAAAAGTTAGATATATTCATAACCAGGGCTGATCGAATGAAAGGAAGATGTATTGATTCTTCTTTTCTGTTGATATAGTTTTGCATTTATCTTTTAAAATCATGTCTTCAAACTCGTTTATTTGTATTAATTCCAGTACTATAAAAGCTTTTAGATTGTAAGGCATTATATTTAGTCTTTGAATAGTCCACGTGCAAAAATGTTCCATGCTGAATCAATATTGGGGAACATTGGGTAACAGCCCTGGATCCCCAAAAACCCAAAAGGCTCCTAAAGCCTTTACTCAAAGCTTCACTATGTGGCATTTAGTACGTGATAATCTGATTAAACTCTAAACGTGTTGGGAAATATTTGGCAGATTTATTGATATTTAAAACGGATAAATCCTGTCACCAACATATTGACCCTGTCTGCCTTACGGATCTTGGGCATGAAGGTTTCTCTTCAAATGTGCAATAAAAGACAAATGATGTGCTATAGCAGATATAAAGGGAGGCGTGTGGTGCAGTGGGTTGTGCGTTGGTGTTCGGATCAGGGGAGCACAGTTTCAAACCCCACTGCAGTCCGCATGTCGTTGTGTCCCTGGGCAAGACACTTCACCCCAAATTGCTCCTGTGGGGATTGCCCACAGTATTGAGTATGTAAGTCGCATTGGATAAAAGCATCTAACAAGTGACATGTAATGTAATGTAAGCTGCTGTATCTGATGCAGGCAGGCCTCATGCCCCCTGGCCCTGGACCAGCAGCTTATGGTGCAGCAGATAACAGCTAAACGGCTCCTGACTCACTCATTTAATACGTTAATGCAGGGGTGGGGAACCTGCGGCCCCCGGACCGTATACGGCCCGCGAGACCATTTGGTACGGCCCTCGAGGTAATTTATAAACACAAAAAAAAGAAAAAAAAAGAAAAAAATGAAAGAAATCTAGACCGCAAAAAAATTAAACAAGCGAGTGCCTGTTTTTCCTGGCAAGGTCATGGTCCTTGAACACAACACGAGCCTAACGTGTCATCACGTGGTATATGTTTCGTCTGACAGGGGTGTATTTCTGACGGAGAGCACCATAACACCGCTCCGGCACTTCCAAAAATGTCAGTACCCATAAGGAGCCGTACACATGCCGCAGTTTCTGAGTGGCTGTGTCTTTAGTTGAAAGCCCAGTGGCGATCTGTTCTTCTGTCATACTGATCATACAGTCAATAACTTTGTTGTTATTAGCATCTGGTTAGCTAGCTATGCTAACGAATATAAGAAGCTTTTTCTTCAACCAGTCCACTTGGATAGGAAACTAATTACATTTGCATCTTGTGTCCAAATCTTTCTGTTTTGGTGGTCATGCCACAACCGTGCACGTGAATGCATGCACGAGTCATGGTAAGATATCTGGATTGAGAGGTTGCTTTTTCTTTGCACAGCATGAAAGAAAGGCCAAATGAATGGGCAGTGATTTTAGTATTTTTAAGCAGAGGTCAATCATTTGTACGGCCCTCGGAGGGTGTTGGAAAAATGTAAATGGCCCTTGAGAGGAAAAAGGTTCCCCACCCCTGCGTTAATGTCTTGTCAACTGGTGCAATAAGACACTTTAAAAGGGGTGACAATACAAGGAATAGAATTGCAATACCCTGGTAAAGGAGAGGATTTGGGCTATTCTCCATAACATGTCTTGTTTCAGTGGAAAGGCAAAGCATCCAAAAATCACATTCAGGTGCTTAATTTACTAACTTTTTCAATATGCATATGAGTAATCTTAAATTAACCAAATGTGAGGAATAGATAATGCCTCTTTTGCAAAATTGTAATTTCTTGTAATACAAAAAGTGCCTCAATGCAAACAATCAACGGGGAAAGTTTCATAGTGATATCTTTTAGTTCTACATTTGACCCTATTTACTTGTTTAACTCTCCCTTTAAGAAATATAGAAAGACATGTTGGAAGTTGGCCAACAGGAAGCCATTTGCTCTCCATTGGGAAACAATTGAATTATTATTATTCACTTTCACTTTCATAATTAAAAAGAAACCACTCTAGAGAAGATACAGCAGCTAAACATGTTTGAATCCCCTTAACCTGTTAAGCCCCAAGCCTGTTTTTCAGGTCTCAGGCTCGAAAATGACATTCCCAGAACAAATGACCATATCTTCACTTCTAAAAGGGGAAAATTAATAATCTTTTTTCTCAAAGCAAGGTTACATCTGTGAGTTGGATGTAGAAGTGTCAGAATTAATATAGATGTTTTTATTTTTAAAGTAAATTCAGATTGAACATAGTAAAAAAAATGTAAATTATAGTGTCCGTCTAAAAAAGAAAAATTACTTATAGTGAAAACCACCCTTGAATGATGGGACAGTAGACTAGCTTTAGGAAAGCTTTAGGAATCCAAACTCTAACATATAATTAGTACCCTGCATCAAGATTGATGCAAAACAAGTGAAATTTGATCTTTTTAGCGAGATTTAGCAAAACAAAACCACTTCTGGGGTCATTTGGGTGGATTAGCAGCCACACTAATGTTATGGTAGAAAAACCTCCAGAGTGAATTATGTGGAGCAGCTGATAGCGCAGAGCAGTCCCCACCCTGCCTGTCTGCACTGATAACACGGAGCAGAGGATCAACACAAACCTTCACCATCACTCTTCAGCTTTAACCACAGAAGGATTTGTTTACTTTTACTCTCTATCCGGTTCTGCGTTTCTTCCCGTAACGTCGTTAAATTGGCGATACAATGGTCGATTAACGCCTTTTACGCACACCATCGTTGCACGTTTATTAAATCCGAAGTGCTCCGCTGCAAAGTCATTGTACTTTCAGCTAAAGTGAATATTTGTAAAGTTCAATGCAATAGGCTGCGATGCTGTCAAATAAAGAGAAAATGCTCATTGCAGAAATATGGGAAAGTCTGACTCCTGTGGCTGAGGAAATTGGAGCAGATGCGCTTCTCAGGTAGGTTAACACTTCGAAATATAATCTGCGTGTGAACTGAATGGAAATACATGTCATTTTATCAACTGAGTAGTAAAATAATTGTTACCTAACATGGAAAACTGGACCCCTCCTCCACATAGGTCTGGTGTGTGTTCATGAATGTAAAGGCTTCCTAAGAAATGTTTTCTCCATTTTGTAAAACATAACAGTACGTTTGCCTCTACAGTAGCCATTTCTATAATGCCAATGTCTATAATCCATTATAAACATACTTGTGTACAAGGTGTTATAGTCTGCTCAAAGCCCTGCATGCTTATAGTTCAAAGCACTCATTAATATTCAAATAAGTTATTCATAAATGTTCCTAATGCTTCATAAAGTATTATCATATTAAGTGCCTATGATAATTATTATAACTGCTGGTCACTCATATCATTAGTGTCTTAAAAGCTGGCAATAAAAAATCCCCGTTCCATATTCAGTGATTTAAAAAATATACTTGATGTACAACATGAGGTAAATTATATGAATTTGTTTGCCTAAAAGATTTTGTATAGTATGAAAACGACTAGTCCTTTGTTTTATTTTTTGTTGAGTTGAGTTCTTATATAATATCAAAGGCTTTCCATTTATTTTAAACCAAGAGAAACCTGTAAAATCTTTAAATCAAAACTCATGGTATGTTCCATTCGGTCAGCGGATATGGCGTCATATCCCCTTTGAGCAATGGTCAGGTTGTATTGTCTGTCAGAAGCTGTCATTCATTTACTTTCTTCCAGTTTTAAGTAATACTTCAACAAAACACTGTTTCCATCTTGCTTGTTTTTTAACCTTTTGTTTTATCCTAATAAAGGTTTTTAGTCAGGATGTCTGGATCTTAAGTAACCTTAAAATCACGCTAAGAAAATGTTGGATTAGCGGGATTTCTAACAACTTGGTCAACAACCTGAACCTGCTCTATTTAATTGTTTTTCATTATTTTTAATCACTAACTCCATTTTTTTCGGAGAGCATTTAACGAATTATTGAACAAAGAAGTAATCCTTATCAGGAGATGCAAACGTTAATGACGTCAATGGACCCAACCAAAATCTCAATGTTGCTATTGTTTTGATTCAGAGACCCCTAGTGGTAGAAAAGGTGCCTACAATGTGAATTATTGTAATACCACTAACATTCCCAATCCCTCCTCAGGATGTTTGCCTGTTTCCCGGGAAGCAAGACCTACTTCTCCCACTTGGACATCAGCCGTGGCTCGCCCCACCTGCTCTCTCACGGGAAGAAGATCGTTCTGGCTCTCGCAGAGGGATCCAAAGACATCAGCCAGCTGACCGTCACCCTCACTCCTCTGCAGATCATGCACGCCTACCAGCTCCGGATAGACCCCACCAACTTCAAGGTACCTGTGTGTTAGAAGAATATCACTCCTCACCGGCTTGAGCTTCAATAATCAGGATCCATGTATTTATGATCCTCTCAAGAATGGAAGTAGTCATCACATACAGAGCATCAACTAGTTCCTGAACAGTGTCCTTCACATGCTGATATCCAAGAGAGGGAGATACACAGTCACAAGATGCAGGAATACCGGTTCAAAGCAGTTTATTAATGTTTAGTTCAGATTAGCTAAGGCCTGCGTAAGCAATAAACATGACAGTCATATGTCTATCTCCATAGAGGCTGAATCATCATGTTAATCGTTGGAACATAGCTATCATATGTTCAACACAGTGTCTCATAACAAGCTTCTTCTTGGTAATCATACATCCTGTCATGTACACAGCTACGTAGGGCCTTTGTTATCATGTGCTACTCTGATATTGAAGGAGTACATTCACTATTTTTCCAACAAAGTGCTATTAATCAATTATACTGAGAATAATGAATGGTTCTTTATTTAATTAACAGTTGCTTATTAACAGTGATGGAGGAAGTATTCAGAGCCTCAGCATAAGTACATTTAGTACTGATTTTCAAAACATTTCGCTGTGGAAGTACAATCAGGAAAATGTACTTAATGTAAAATGCAATTGTAGTCAGTACGAAAGGGTTGGGTTAGGTTAGGGTTAGAGTTAGAGTTAGGTTAACCCTAACCTAACTGATATATTTTATTTATTATATCACTATAACATAACTACGCATGCACTAGTGTGAAAGCAAGATATAGCTTTGGATTTCTTTAGTTGGTGGAGATATTTTTTTTTTACCATTTTGTACAGGACTGCAGCTAATGATTGTTTTTATAGATTAATACGCTATATATAATTTTTGCTCTGCCAAATCAATAGTTTGTTTTGTAAATATTCAAAGAATTGTGGTTAATACTGTGACATTTAGCTCGGAGCCCAACGTAACAACCACAAAAAGTCCAAACTAAAACATTTTCCGTACATATCAAACTACAACTCTTTGCCCCGTTACTCCTGTGCTTGAAAATGGGAAGTGCTTAAGTATTTTCCATATAGTTTATATTTATACTTAACTCTGAACAAACTTCTCTTCTATTGATATCCAAACATGTTGCCTTGATTGTTTCTTGATTGATTTGGCCCAACTAGATTGTTTCATGACTAACAAGCCTCTCCCTTGTCTTCAGCTCTTGTCCCACTGTATGCTCGTCGCCCTGTCCTGTCACATGCGCGATGACTTCACAGCGGTTGCACACGCAGCGATGGACAAGTACCTGTCAGCTTTCGCAGCCGTGCTCTCCGAGAAATACAGATAAGACCCAGGCCCAGTCGTGTGTTTGTAGTATATATAAAAACATTTATGATGTTGTATGATGTGATATATTTATATATGTGTAGCTGTTTCAATGCAATATTTTATAATAATACAAATGTGCAATTAAAATGGTCCCTGTTCTGTTGTATGACGACATAAAGTCCACGCACCAAAAAGTTGTTTTGAGTTATTATTTTACGTACACACAACATATATGTGTAATCCAACTAAAAATACTTTTAAATATTTGTTGCATCTCTTCGTACTATACTAGCTTGAATGGAAGCCAAGGGTGATCTGAAACAAAATGAATTCATGCATTTACAATATTATTTAGAAAACTATAAATTGACATATACTTGAACTTAAAATGTGTAAGTTATACCACAGTCCAGCATACAAGACAGTACCTGAATAGCAGCACACATTTACTGTATACTACAACGGAACCACCATTATGATAAAATGCTATCCAAACATTTATTAGCAGATACAAAAGTCCACTGATTACAAAAAATATTAAAACAATTAACTGATTTCAAGTCTATTTTTAATCCAGACCAGTGGGTTGCGGTAATGCATTGATGAGTTTATAACTATAACGAATACAAAATAGTAAGGATGTAACGATACCAAAAACTCACGGTACAATAATATCGCGAGAAAAAGTCCACGGTACGATATTTATCGCGATATTGAATTTTTTTATTTTATTATTTATTAAATAATAAATCTGATCTGGTCGGTGATACAGCGAGACACAGCGAAACTCATCCTGAGCACACACAAACACTCACAGCCGAAGTAAAAACAATAAGTGTGGCTTGATATTGAGTAAGAAAAAGGTTTATAACGCTGTGAGAATGGGTCTGCAGAGAGCATTTCTCCGCCATCCCAACTCGTCTATTACCAGCGTTCAGGGAGCTCTATGCAAGTCAATGGGACGCCCTGTTAGTTAGCCAAGGGATCCTGGTGTGTGAGGTGCTCCAAGGATTGGTCCATTTGGGCCAATCCGGTCATTTGTTGTTGATGTGGGTGTTCACACGTCACAGAACCCAGGAAGCAAACAATGGAACGAGAGACATCTCCAACAAGGCGTTCTGGGGCAGCATAGACAGGTCTTCTCTGTGTTAGAGTTTTACTCACTACAGGGTGTGCTTTGAGGGTTTGTGACTCTGCAGACCGTTTACATGCATAAAAACCTTCATAACACACAAGGGGACGGGTAATAACCAGAAAAGCATGACATGGGCCCTTTAATGTTAAAGTAATACATTTATCTTGGTATTATATCTAAATGATATGGTTTAACAGATCTGGAAACGTGGGACCTTAAGTATTGTGTAAACAAATTTAAAGGAATCACGTCTCAGTCATGACTGTTAAGAAAGACTCAAAACTGGACCCTCTGTGTCCGCTACCTACTGTATGTATTTACCATAGTTTGCCATACTAATTGATGTAGTTGCATTACTGTGGACAGGTATTAAAACATATTAGGAATATGTGTACCTTGTTACATTGTACTGGAAGAGTTTCCAGATTGAATATTAAATATATTATTTATTCCACTTTCATTTACAGGACTTAATATTTTCTTTTATATTAACATGAAGAGCTGAACAACTAATCAGAACTTTCTCAAAATCACAATATAATAATAAGCTACTTCCATTTGAAAAATGTTTTCTGTATCAATTATAATAAAGTTTTAAACCAAAAGAAACATCTGGGTTTTTTTTTTACTTCAAGGCTCATTTAACTGATAATACTTTAAATTCATGTTTAATACTGTGATCCAGTGAAACCTTTATTTTCTGCTTTATTGCTTTCCGTGGTGCTGAAATAAACATTGTGTTAAACATTCAGACCTTTTTTTTTGGTGGTGATATACAATTACTAACATTTAAGAAATATTCTCCTGAGTTCTGGTTTCTGTGCTCCTAGGGGC